TAATTTCTTAAAACATTCCTTTAAATTTTGCACGTTTAAAAACATAGGACAGTGAAACTTCTACGACTTTAACGTACGAAGTTGCTAAAATCGCACCATATCGACAGTTTACATGTAAAATATTTCCCACGACGAATATTTAGAAATCTTTGGCACCAATGATACTTTCAATTAAATGAAAATGGAAGTGATCGGAATTATGATCGTGATTTGTTGATTCCATTTCAATTTTACAACACTTCTCATTAACTTCACTTCTTGTTGTTTGTCTGCTACAAATCTTGTAATCGAAATTTAATACACTTCTACTTATCCTATCGATCTGAAATTTTGCACACTTGTGTAAAGTTGAAGACAATGCATGAATCAAATGTCAAAATAAATGATTTTGAAAATTAATAAATATTTTTTTTAATATTAAAAAAAATTAAAAAAATAATTTCGTCAGCTACAAATCTTTTACTGATATATGACACACTTTTACCTGTCTAATTGATCTGAAATTTTGCACACTTGTGCGAAGTCAGAGGCAATGCATGAATCAATTAACAGAATAAATAATTTTGGAAAAAACCATATGTAAAGCAAATTTTATATATTAAAAAAATGAAAAATTAATTTTTTTAATTCGAAAATTAAATGAGCAATTCGTTGTACATCTGTAAGATTGGAGACACTGGATTCTTTATTATTTAGACTGAACTTTGCAGACCTTCTGACCTTTACCCCTCGTGTAGTCGCGCCCAAACTTCTCGTGAAGTTTTGCTTGCTAATCAGAAATTTGTTCGGTCCAATAGTGGTACCCATTACCGGGCATTATTGATGAAGCAGCCGAGTTGAGTGCATTCATTCTTGGGGTGGTTACCTAGATTGGATTCTAGCGACTCTTGAAATTGAATCTAAAAATGAAGCAACTATTATGATCAACCTTATTATTTGTTCATTCTTTTATCGTGATCAAGATTTTTGTAAAAGGTATTAATATTGTAAGAGGATATTAGCAACATTGACTGTTGCTAATACTCTCTATATATACTAGATTTTTTTCGCTTTCCTGGCGGAAATCGGCGGCTTTCTTTAATTACCTACAAATTTGGTACGTGTTGTTGAGTCAATGTGTATCCATTTCACCAAGGCGCGCTAGGCAAGAACGTAGTAGATTTTAGAGATCTCCATGTGTTCAGTATGTCCACGTTTTTATTATTATTATTGAACCATACCTGTAAGAATAAATTTCTGCTCATGCGTTATTCAGTAATAGTTTTTACGGAACAGTCTGTGCTTAATATTTGTTTGTATTTTTCTTAATCAGTTCACTGCTTTAGGAAGCTTTTTAGATATTATCCACGATTTACTCATATTAGCCCGAGATTTTACACTTTTAATAGCTCTTTTTAGCTCGTTTTTAGGAAACACTGCTGAGATGTAATTATTTTTCGATGGTGGGGCGAGAGTTCCACTCAGAAAACCATTCTCTTTACCAATCGATGACATATTCCTTTACCCGTTCATTGAGTTACCTTGGCAAGCGTTCTCCCAAACCGCCCTTCGTTTTCTTCTTATACGAACCACTCTTCATTTTTCTTACGTATATACTGTATTACCTTTGCGTGTAATTATATAAGATTGTGTTCTTAAATTATCGCATATACGTTCAACTTATAGTTTTTCATTTAAAAGATAGGTTCTATATAATAGTTCGTTGTACTTCAGTGTTCTAAACGTCAACGTTTCAGGGAACAGCTTTTTATTTTTGTTTTTATTAAGCGAGATGACTTTCGTGATTCTCCTTTCGTGTTTCTTCTCTTCGTGCTTCTGCTGCTCTAGTAATTCGCATAGAGTGCTCTAAATTGCCTGCCTAGCCCTTACATTCCATGCAGGTTGTAATTCGTGTTCCTGGCTAAATATTTGACCCGTCTTCTTCTTTCTTGTAATGCTTAGGAATTCCTGCCTCGTTCTACTCTTTCTTTGCTCAGTAACATGAGCTGCCGTGAGGGCGCTCTGGCATTCCGTGGCCGAATAGTACAGAAATTTGACATTTTATAGAGCCCTGGGGCCATACTTTCAAAATTTGCTAAGTGACCGTAAGTACTTACGCTCTATTCTCTTATCTATGATTGGTGAATTTGCTTGAAAGGCCGTCAATGATTGGCTGATGAACTTACGATCTCTTAACTTTCTTTGAAAGTGTAGGCCCTGGGCTACTTCCCTAGCTAGAGCTCATTCTCTGATTGGTCGCGAGGCTGTATGCAGCCACTGTTCAAAATTTTTGTTCGCACTTCATTCCTTAGGTCGACGGCATTTTTCGTACAAAAATGTGTTACAAAAATTTGTTTTTAGTCTACTAGGGAACGTTTTAAATAATCATTTTTGAGACTACTTATCGATTCTAAAATGAAATTGGACATATTAGCAAAATGGCGCCATTATTTTTTGAGGCGTTCAAGATTTTCTCATAATTTTAGTCTGTTGTACTTTAAATCATATTATCGAACATGACGAACTTCTTAATACTTTTGTCACCTTGAATACTATTTTTGCTGGTCAGGACTGCGTAATATCGACCTCCATAACCGTAGCGCTTAAATTATTTTAGCTTGTGTCGTGTCTTTGCGTTTAGAATTTTTCCGGAACAGTAAGTGTCCCATGCAAATAACGTCTGTTATATTGTAAATTTAATATGATATCTTTATGTACTACATCATTTCAATTAAGATTTTTTACAGGCGTTTATGAACAGCATTATAGTACGGTCTCTTTAACATATTTTCGCATTCGATAATTTCTCATTTCACTTTAATTTGGAATTGGAAACTTGGATCACTATGGCATGTTTTTAAAATACTAAAATCTAAATAATATCGTATTTTATACTAAAGAAATAAATTAAAAACTGAGTAAATAAACTATCTTCTTTTAAACTTATGTTATTTAGTACAGTCACAGAGACCCAGGGGGGCGATATACGAGGCAAGGCACAGCTAAATACGACTCTGGGTATCTCGTGTGAAGTTATTACTGCCGCAATAATGTTGCACTCGAGGGCCGGGGAGCTTGCAATTACACGAAGAGGGTCGCTTGAGGTAGCGAGGGCTGACCACCAGAGGGTGCAATCAAAGGCACACGACTGTTTTTTGGAGGGCAAACAAGACGTGCTTCGTCCCTTGACTGTACTCGTCCCTTAGATGTACTTGTCTCTTGACTGTACTCGTGCCTTAGATGTACTTGTCTCTTGACTGTACTTGTCTTTTAACTTTACTCTCTTGGCTGCACTCGTCCCTTGGCTATACGCGACCTTTGCCTACCTTTCTGCCAAGAGGATCGTTATGCTGGCTTCCTGTTAGTTGATCTCTAGAGACTTGAAACTTTCTATTACAGCTAAACCCTAGTTCAGGGCATTAGAATCTTTCCCCAGATGCTTTGCTAGCTGGAAGCTTTTAAAATTTTCTCCTACTATGTACTCCTACTCTTACTGCCTTGCTGACAAGACTGAAATGGAATGAACATGAAGTTCCCAGAAGCTTAAGTTATTATTTTTCATTAGCTGTGCGCACAAAGTTAGATCTGATATTTTAAAATGTTTTTATTGCCATTGAAAATATTCCTAGACAAATTATTATTTGTTCCACAAAATATCTACACCCGTTGGATTATGGAGCCACAATTCCATCGTTATTATCGTTGACCGTTGAGTTGAGAAATCATCTGCATTTTCATGATTTTAACTCTATTAGAGAGCCATATTTTGAGTGGTTTTGCTATGTTGAAATTCAACTATTTCAGAACTCTTGATGTCCGTGCACGAGCATTTATTAAATTTTACAGTTTCAGAAACTTCAGGTTCTGAGGAGTGAAACTCGTTAATCTCATTTGCTTCAAGCTAGAATCTTGTTGTCAGGTTTGAATATTTATGTCTAATTAACTTAATGAACTAGCTTCTTGATGCAAGTTTAATTTATTAATTATTTTCCAGTTTTTATCCTTCAACTAGTAACTTTGTATACAACTGAATGCATCACTGTATTTTATTGGTTGTAACTAATCATTTGTACATATCGGCACAGAATTAACAGGAATCAGTCCGTACACTTAACGCAATAAACAAACATAGCTTAAACGCTTATTTATACTTAAATAAATAAACATAGTCATTTAGTGGGAATGCCTGTAATTAATTAACGCAATTTATACGATGCTCTGATCGCTGATGGCGCTCCTTTTTTATTCATAAATACCGTTTAATAGGACACATTGGACCTCTTCGCCAATTAATGGCCGCTTGCCGTTTAAATGCAACGAAAAACTCCTGCCGTTGAAATTGAGTTTGTGTCGAACTAATTGCCGTATAAATATCCAATCATTCCATTTTTTTCGACTTCATTTTAACTCGCCTCTGCTGGCTGGCCGTTCAGCCTCGATTGTCAGCCTCATCGGTGTAGTGAAAATTACCGAAATGAGAGGCTAAATTTACCGGCAAATTTGTATTTTTAAAACGATACAGATGCTTCAAATCCGCGACTTCGGCCGCTCGCTGCATGGGTCGCTCGCGAATACTAACTACAGTCGTAAATTGTAAATTGTTTTGCTAGTACTGCTATAATTTTTCGTATGCTGCACAGTACCGTGTTTCTCCTACCTTGTATTTTCACCGGTGTTGACTGACAATGACTGACGCGAAGTGTTTACCGTTATGAAATGTCGAGAGGTAAACGCAAAACTTTTGTACGGTACCCAGGATTTCAATGATTTCTATATGCTATGGAAAGCACTATTAACCTATCAACCTGTGCTAAGTAACAAGTTTGGGGCAAAATTATCTCATTAGTTGGCGTTTCTTTTTCTTACAAAAGCTCATAAAATGAAATAGAATCGTTTTTTTTTCACAGCAGGCAAATAATTTTCTTTACTGCTTAACAAAATAAATAGTTTTATAATTATAAAATTAAAGACTTAATTCTATTAGCATTTGTAAAATTTGTTTTGTTATTTTTCTACCACAGCCGTGACGGAAGCGAAGGTATGGGTCCTGGACAGACGCGTCTACCAACTCGTCATGAAGCGGTCTGGGCTCAAGAAACACGAAGATAACATCGCCTTCCTGCAGTCCGTTCCGCTCTTCCAGAACCTTACCAAAGATCACCTCAGCAGAATTGCGGACGCTTTGCAAGTGGTGAGTTTTGTATAATTCATTGAGCTAAATTTGTTTGATCGTATCGTAATGGAGGATTTTTTGTGTGCTGTGAAAAAAATGTGGATGAAACTAGTATTTTTCGTTCATATATAGAATCGAAGATGTCGCACTCGTGTTATTTCAGTGTAATTTATATGCATTTCAGTTTTATCTTGATGTGCGGCTATCAGAAGGTCTCACTGGTTTCAATAGGAAAATAGCTCTTAAAAGAACCTTTGGGGTTTAAGTTTAGTTTTTATTCGCAAAATGTTCATGCCTCACAAAAAATTACCTACAATAATTACAACTTTTGAAGCTGATAAATAGTAATTTCAGCCCTCTCTTAACATACGAGTACTTAATTATGAATTTCAGGTCAGGTTATACGTGTTCGAAATACCAGCTATGTTGGTGGCAACTCAATGGAACGGGTGAAATATGGAAAGGGTGAAATATCAAGTAAAATGTGTTTCTCCAGTCTATCGCTATTTATCCAACATTTTATACTCGTCGCATGTAAGTATACTGTCTATTTTCAGTCGCATTTCTGTGTGTTCTGTGTCCATCATTCAGGCCGCTTCCGGGTTAGAACAGCAACATCCTGTGTATTTTTCCTGTGAATATCCTGCACTGAGGTGAAGATCGCGCTTAGTTCTAGTGTACCTAAGCTTATAAACGCGGTCATTTGCATCTTCGCCAAAGTCCGCAACTGCGACATTCTCTGAATTCCGCATTGCGGCTACAGGGCGGGAACTGCTCTCAACTGCTGCCCTGAGTGCTGTTGTGCGCAGTTCTCTGGCTGTTGCTCTCTCTAATGCGACACCAGATATATTTCAGTTTTTTCTCTCTAACGCAACACTAAATATTCTTCTCTTTTTTTCTCTATAGAGCAACACCCAAATATCCTGCAGCTTTTTATTTCCAACACCTCAAATATTCTTCAGCTTTTTCTCTCTAAGGCTACAAGCAGATATTCTTTTTCTATTTAACCTCTCACCTATAAATTCTTCAATTTTTGCTCCAAACGCAACACCTAAATATTCTCCCCCTTTTGCTCCCACACGACACGCTACATATTCTCCTTGCTCCCACACGACATACTAAATATTCTCCTTGCTCCCACACGACACACTAAATATTCTCCTTGCTCCCACACCTCACACTAAATATTCTCCTTGCTCCCACACGACACACTAAATATTCTCTTGCTCCCTCACGACACACTGAATATTCTCCTTGCTCCCACACGACACACTAAATATTCTCTTGCTCCCTCATGACACACTAAATATTCTCCTTGCTCCCACACGACACACTACATATTCTCCTTGCTCCTACACGACACACTAAATATTCTCTTGCTCCCACACGACACACTAAATATTCTCCTTGCTACCACACGACACACTAAATATTCTCCTTGCTCCCACACGACACGCTAAATATTCTCCTTGCTCCCACCCGACTCACTAAATATTCTCCTTGCTCCCACACGACACACTAAATATTCTCCTTGCTACCACACGACACACTAAATATTCTCCTTGCTCCCACACGACACGCTAAATATTCTCTTGTTCCAAATTTCACAGCTTGCAGAATTTCCCGTCACTCGACACCGCTGCTCTGTGCACGGAACTGCCAGAAACACGACACGGTTCAGGGTTGTGGTTTGCTGCGGAAATCGCCATGTTGAGCATTTATGTTGTGAATTCCGAATGAAAGAAACAAATATTCTAGGAGAAATGAATCCTTCATTTATTGAGGAAGATACTTCGCTGTCACTTTCTTCGTTTGAGGATTCATGTTGGAACAAAAGTTATTACCTAATTTCATGTAATGTATATATTTATAGTTCTGTGTAAATTTGTGATGATATTATTGTTTTCTGATTGATTTTTACGGCAACGAACTAAACTTATATGAAGCATGCATAAGACTTTTCCTGAAAAAATAATGGCTTCGTGGTATGTCCCTACTTGCGTATATCTATGATCTGATTGGAAAATGGTTTGCTACATGATGTTGTAATCAACGATGTAAATCTTGAGGCTTCTGCAGTGAAATCTCCGATAATTTTGGTATCTGGAAAGATACGAGAACACAAATGGTTTGGAGAACACAAATAAAGAGTGACAATAATTACCCTCTCATCGGTTAAAACATTGGTTTGCCTTACATATTATGATCGTTTCCCCATTCATAAAAATTTATATATAGTTCAGAACGAGTTTATGTCTCCTTAACAAATATTTTGCTGCTAGCATCGGGGTTGAAAGAAGCGAAATCTTGCTCCCTTTATTAGAGAGACCTTGAACTCTGCATCAAATCCCTTATTGCGTTCACTCTTCATTCGTGAACGTCAACTTCAATTAATTGAACGCGTCAAGTTTCGTTATTCGTTTGCGTTTATTGGCCGGCGTCTGCACAGTTATTGCTTTTTGCTTCTCTGCTTTCTGTCGTTAGGGCTTTTCTTGATTGCATCGTTAAGGTTCACTAGCGGATGTTGGTGCAGATTTGTTGGTGCAATCACCGCGCTGTTGCTTCATGATTTGGTCGGATATTTGCCATTACTGGTCGTCTAGACGGGACACTTTCCTTTCATTATCCTTTCGCAGCTACGCAAAAAAATGTAATAACTGGCATAATTTTCCAATCTTATCCCCATCAATTATTCCGAGAGTCGATTTTTCTGGTAAAGATCGTATGCCTTTTTCCATGTAGAAGTCTTTCAGGTTGAATGACACCAGAATGCACTAAAAATTTATACGTTTACATTTATTGCATTTGTCATAAGAATGAAAAATCTTGATAGAAATCAATGTCATCGTAGACTTATTATGCATTATTTTTCTGTTTAATTTCTTTTACTGGATTGTATCTAAAGTTTAGTGTTTTGATACGTTTTTCTATAGCAGCGCGCTTCGAAAATTTACACATTATTCATTAAGTTGAAAGTTTCATTAAGTTTCACAAAAATATTTATTCGTTAAATGAAGTTTCTGGTGCAACAATTGTGAACTTTTTTACTCAAATCAACTTGCGAAATCGAGGCAGAATTTTTCTCAATAAAAAAATTATGTCATTTCATATAAATTGCTGTAAGCTAGCAAGTTCATTCCTCTGCAGAAGCAAGAATATGCTAAAATCTCTCTGATGAAAACAAGGGACTTCGTAGGTTTTGTGTATGCAAAATGTGCATTTGACGGCACTTCAAAAAAGTACGGAAGCACAATTAAGGAAAAGAGCGACCATGCTCGAGCCACGAAATCAAAATTTATTAGGAAAAGAGAGTTAACCTCAATAATTTATAGCATTTAATATGCTATGCACCGTTAGTGGAAAAAAAATTCAATCACACTTAGAATTAAAACTAAAAAGCTATATTAAACGATCTACACACTTAGCAATAATGTAAAAAAGCTCCATTACACTATCCATTCGTGAAGCAAAGCTCCACTGGGCCCATGCTTTCAAAAAAAGTTAAGAGATCGTAAGTTCATCAGCCAATCATTGACGGCCTTTCAAGCAAAATCCACCAATCATAGACAAGAAAATAGAGCGTAAGTACTTACGTTCACTTAGCGAGTTTTGAAAGTATGGCCCCAGGTTAGCCAGTGCAGCAGCGATGGAGTTGCAGATACAGGCTCTGCATCTGTCGCTGCACCTAACGAAGCCTCCAGGGATGCAACATCTCATTTCGCGCGTCGTGAAGCGCACGTTTGCAGCGATGCTCTATATTTTGATGGCATCATTTCTGCCACTTCATTTCTTTCTCATTTTGTATGTAGCAGCAGCTGCTCCTCATGTCTGAAGCCCGCATATTTTAGGTGGTGTTACCTACTGCGTGAGCTTTTTGCTGGTTAGAGACGTTTTATCCAAGATCTTCTTAACTAAATTGGTAAATATTTTATTATTTAAATATTTGAAATGAAATAATGCAGGAAATTTTGAGCTTTATTGCTCAGATACAATAAAGTTCAATCCTTATTATACCGGTGTCACAAATAATTTTACCGTGTTTAGTCGTAATCGAATTTCATTGCGACAGTTTTCGAACGTATAAAACAAACGCTTTAATACTATAATTAGTATTACGGATCAAATAAACTAATAAATCCTCGAAAATCAAGCTGATTTACAGGCTTTTGTGATTTGGAGCGGCAACTATGAACTTGTCTTACAGTAAAAGTAAAGATTAAGTATTTACTCTATTTTTATTCTATCACATATCAGTTACGTTAGGTGTTACACTAAATACCACTTTTACAGCAATGTATGTTTCCGCGTGTAAAATTATGTATAGCTTCCGTATTTGGGATGCCGGATCTTTGCTCAACGAAAGTTCTTGCTTATTGCTCTTCTCAAAAACTCAGATAATTCGGGGAAAATCATGAGAATAATATCTTTACTTTACATTATGATAGTTATTGCTTATCGCTGTTCCTGAAAAGTTGAGATAATTTAGGCAAATGTTCGTAGCTAGTTTCTCTTTGTTTTTATTTGCGTAGTCAATGTTTTTCTAAGTTAATCCACATTCATGCCCCTCCCTGTATAATACACTTGGTTTCAAGTCTAAATAAGGAAGGATATATTTACCATAGTAATTAGGAAGAATTATATATTATATATTTTAAAATACTTCCTAACTGATCTCTATTTTTAAGCAGGGTTTTTCATGGGGCTATTCTAAACATTCTCCAAAAATTATTTTAATTCTCCGTAAAAATTCCTACTATAACATAATTTGAAATAATCGCAGCCCATTTTAGGCTTAATCTTAAAATTCTCCACTTTCTTGCCTCATTAGACCTCGCGGCTTCAAAAGTTGTCTGTTAATTAATCTTAGTTTAATTAGTTTGCATCTTCTTAGTCGAGAGGCCTTGAAACGTTATCAACACTTCTCATAATGAATACGTTGGACCGCGGTAGCCATGAATACCTTGACATTTCTTTAGCATAAAATTCTTGGTTCTTTGCGGGGATATTTTTTGTGAACATTTTATTTAGCTGCTCGGCGTCGCTTCCAGCAGCTCTGAAAAGATTTTTTGATCGACGGCTCAGGATGCGCGGTATAAAACGCAACCGTCCTGCAAAAAGCTTTACCACGTCTTTGAAAATAACTGCAGCGGTCAGTTGATAATATTTCAACATATTTTATGATAATATGTGACGAGAAAATAGCATGATGTGTAGTCGATTTAGAGTTACAATTATCAATATACTGTTTTTACATGTGATGAGAGGCGTACAGATTTTTTTATTGTGTGAATGCCATGCAAAATCGCTTCTATTTCCTGATAGTCCATCTATATTTTTTCAAACTCAATTATGAAATATCGCGACAAGCTTGTGAATTTTATTCGCGGATGTCTCTGTGCATTGATTGCTATCATTCAATTAGAAATGTTTTCAGGAACGGAGAATTCGGAAAGCAAATGGGGTTTCAGGCCCAAAATCTTCATTGGGTATTAAATAAAAAATTCTTTTGATCCTAGAACTCTAGTTCTCTAGATTGCTGTTACTAAGATTGATAAATTCTGCTATGGGTTGAATTTAAGAGCATGGATAATTCACCTTCATTTTAGTTTAGCATCATTTCCGTTAAGCATAATTTTAGTTTAGCATAATTTTAGTTTAGCATCATTTTAGTTTAGCATCATTTTAGTTTAGCATCATTTTAGTTTAGCATCATTTTAGTTTAACATCATTTTAGTTTAGCATCATTTTAGTATAGCATAATTTTAGTTTAACATCATTTTAGTTTTGCATCATTTTAGTTTGGAAAATATTAATCATAAACGCTCGCTTTCAATCGAGTGCAAAAGTGTCAGATTTCTTCAGCAGCCCCTTTGTATTTTGGCACCTGTATTAGAGGCCGGCAAAATAAAAATAAAAAAACCGTACCAGTACATGGCCTCCACCGAAGTAACCTTCATGATATCACTTCAAGGAATTCAGTGCCCACAATAAATAACTTGACATTCTCTTATTGTTTAAAGTGGGACTAATATGAGCAGCGTTTTGGTAGAATGGGCGCAACTTTAGCATAAAATTCAGCGCTTTGATAGGGTCTGGTGGTCTAACTGCCGACAGTAGCCACAGAAGAACACCAAATAACAAGTAAATTACTTTCTTTTCTAATAATTTGTATTCGAGAAATAGTAATCAGCCGATAAGAAAAATAACATCGCTGCTGACGGATTCGAGTATACTGCACAAAATTCACCACACACTATAAGTATATATACCTTACCTTTTGCTTAGTCGTTCTCTCACAAAATGTTCACCAAAATTCGAATAATGTGCACAAAGATTAGCCAGCAGTTCAAACACAAAGTTTAAATTATTAAGGTTAGAATGTTAAGAAATGTGTTTAAATGGTTAAAATATACATAAAATGTACAAATGGGCATTTATGTGCACATTTTGACGTCCACACCGAAAATTGCAAAGGAGGCGTCAAATCTGGTGGCGAATTATCCGATCTTCGTTTTCAAGAATAAACGCAAAAATATAGCCATTTGTAAACGCATGATTTCAGTGCATCGAGGTACGAAGAAAATGACTTCGTAAAACTCAAAATCGAAATTATCACAGAGCTTATGTTGAACCGGAAGTGGTCTTAGACCTCTTAAAATCATCATCCTTCTCTGTCTCTCCGAAAGCCTCTTAAACTTTGGAGAATAATGCAAACACAGCGTGGATTAATACGAATTATGTTACCTCAGATAAAATACTAAATGAAGAACTGATGTCGAAAATTTACTCGCCTCATCATTTGATGCTCTACAAAATTTACTGCTTCATTATTATTATTATTTAAAATCAGACCACATTGAAGATCAGACCAAAAAAATCGTGCAGGCTGAAGATGCTTCGTTCCTTACCCGTAATTTCCTATCTCATGGATCGACTGTGACTAAGTCGCTCTGCCAAGTGTGTTTGTCTGAGTTGACTTCATTGTGTCCTTGGTCAAGACAAGCAGTACGGGATAGGACTGCACATTTAACAAGTCATGGATGCGATTACAATACGTTGCAGGAAATGAACACATGCCCAAATACTCTCTAAACCTCGACTTGATACAGCATACGGATCTTTAAACCATAGCCTCGACTGCCGAATGTTTTTTTTACTAGGAGCGTAGCGCTCAAATTTTTTATTTAATGTCGCTCGTGCAATTCTTGCTTATTTACACAAACTGGGCGTTTGGAAATGGGTTGAGAAGGCTTTTTAACTTTATTATTTGGGACTTGCTATACTTTTTAAAAGGTCATTTTCCATACACCAACCTTCACGAAAATCTACGTGGTTTAAAGCCAGAATTTGATTTAGTTTTTCTAGTTCATATAGCAGCTGTTTTAGCTTAGTGTTCAACTTTCTCGGTATTCATGTTGTGAATACGCGAACATATTTATTAAATTATTTTCTTAGTTCGGGCAGTGCCCAATTAAGAATGGGCTCCGCTTCTTTTAGTTTGTTATAGATTAGATTGTTGAGCTTGCGCAATTAGTATGTTATTCAAATAAATTTTACTACAAATCTATAGGAACCTGTAATCAAGAAATTCAGCAGTTTCAATTCGCTCCAATTTTCATCGTTGCTCATTGTGCACAGGTCGAGTTTTATCAAGTAATCGTGTCTCGAGTGTTCACAATTGACAATGCCTTCATTCAAAGCCATCATGAAATAAACCGTAAAAGTTATTACAGGGCAACTATACTTCCGCGGATGATTAGTTGCTATACATTGTTTGGTTCACGAAAAAAATATTAGATGCTGTATCAAAAATGGTTTTCTCAATATTATCCTGCTGACAATTCTCAAAGTTTCGCATTTTTTAGCAGACTCTTAACTTTATAATTAACAAACATACAAGTAATAGTTATGTGGGTAATAAATTCTCTCTAATAACTAATAATAATAAATTCTCTCTCTAATAATAAATAAATAAATATATATATAATAATAAATTCTCTCTCTAATAATAACATTTTTTCATCAAAAATTTCATCTCCATCCATGTAATAAAGGAACTGGCTTTTTTTTCGAATCACAATGTGCGTTTTTTGCTCATTTGTGGCCAATGAGAGAAACTAAAAAAATAAATTTCAGATTCATTCAAAATTTATTATGAAAATTAGTATTTCTAACTTATTTTGATTAGCAAATAACGTGAGTCTAGTAGTTCCGACATGCCGCTCTCTCATGTTTAGCAATTGATTTGATTTACAATTGATTTATTTATATGGTAATTTTTATTTGCTAATTTGGCATTTCGTCCACGAATGCAGCCATCTTAGCAAAAGCGCATTCTCATTCATCAATTTTTGAGATTTAAAATTCCGTAAATAAAATGTTTGTTAGGAATTTTCAAATTTGAAACGAGCTTGTTTGATTTATATTGCCGTCAATTGAGCATGACAGTCAACTACACATTTTTAAACGAAACTTCATTCTACTCAATTTATAGAGTGCCTTTCCCCGAGCTCTAAAAAGTGTGCATTATTAACTTTGTAATCGAATTTTGCGTCAAAAAAATTTTTATCCACTCTATTTCCTTATTATTTGAAGAAATGAAAAGTTGATAATGGATTTCAGATTCAGAAGCAGTCCATAATACATGATGCGGTTATCTGGAACCATTGTTATTTTGCTGTTGGTATCAACAATAATATGCAGCAATTTATTGAGGACGATTTATCTTGCCCTCTTTATGCTAATCATTTAATTAGAAATGCCATCTTTATAAGCATAATTGGAAAGGAAGTATATGCCATCTTCTTAACAATTGCGTGGTCTCATTTTTATACTCATTAGGACTATTCAACGACGTCTCTGATATGACGTCCATTCAAAGTTAATAACATTATAGCCATTGATTTTTGCATCTTTTTTGTTAAATCACGATAAATTGACTGATGAAAAATGATTAATTTCAGGACTTCTACGGGCCGGGCCATTACATCATCCGCGAAGGCTACAAAGGAGACTCTTTCTTCATCCTCAGGTCCGGAAAAGTGAAGGTCACCAAAAAAGTTCCGGGTAAGTGACAATTTGCTTTGATATTCCCACCTAAAATTACTAGCACAATATTTTCTCGTCTGAAATGAATTTACTGTATATTTTGCAGCTCTGAATCAATATTTTTTCGTCTGAAATGAATTTTCTGTAAATTTCGCTGCTTTAAATTCGAACTACGTGTTGCGTTCTTATCTACTGATAATCTTTTTTAGATTGAGTTAATAATCAGCAAGGTTTACCAAAATTCAGATGTTATTATTTTGACAGTAATTTCTTGATGAAAACCCACATTAACCCGCATTTTACTTCAGACTCGCAATAAAGAATAAATTAGTAAGTGAGATGCATTAGGCGACAAATATTTCTTCAGAAAACAAATAATGTTCCGCCATAAAATTCGTCAATATCATTTTAATATTGTTTTTATACTTCCAGACTCTTAAGTGCGTTTTTATGAATCCCTTCTCAAATCATTGTTTATGTGTTTCAGTTACGTGCAGTCTGGACTGAATTATTTTCAATAGATCAAAACTATGCGATATTTTAATTGAGGTTGTGATATAATACTGGCAAAAATCATACATAATACTGTATTCGAGGCTGCTTTTTACAAGCGTTTTTCCCATCAATGTTTTGTGAACAATTCATTATGCCTTGAAGTTGAGTGATGCTCAATAAATATAAATAAACTGTTGTTTTCTAGTGATTTTGAATTCTAAGGGCACCAGAGTTGTACTAAATATATCTGCTGAATATTCTATTATAGATAATTTTCAACTTCAGGCTAGTTCTAGTGCTGAAATATGCAACTGAAAGTGTACGGGAAAACTCGTATTACGGGAAAATATCTGTTTTCACGAAGTTCTATTTCATAACAACTTCAAGCAGCGTCTGGATAATAAACTATTCCACACTATTTAGTCGCTGATAAATTTTTACTTATATTTTTGTGCTATTTATTTTAATTCTCCTGGTCAAAATATTGGATGAAGTCTTCATTTCATTTCGGTGAATTCATTTTAATTATTCTCAGACTACGCTGTTTTTAATTGTTATTCCTGGTGCAAAAACATCAGATGGTAATTTTATACATCAATGGAATCGTAATCGACAATTTCGACTGTTGTGAGGTCAAATAGCTTAATTAGTGAAGAAAAGTTCTGCTAAATTGAACAGTTCTGAGAATTGTTTTTCCCGTTCACGATTAATTTAATTCTCGGAAGATTACTCTTCGCTAATTCCTGGTTTCTAATTGATTTTTTATCGTTGAAAAATTCTATCTAAAACATAGAGATATAATTCATGAATATGTTATAATTGTGTTTTTTAAAAGTGGACATTGGATACAGCCTCAGAGTTTCGAATTTTCGTGCATTGTAGGAATGTTTATTGAAAGTTTATTTCATTTCTCTTACACTCCTGAAAGAGTCATATTTTTTATAGTCTCATGCGTGATAAAAAATTTTATCCATCCTGACATTTCACATATAATGCGACATTCAACGTGAATGTAGCTTGCTTTCTTATCAGAGACTCTTTCAGAAATTTCTATTTGTGGACTTCGCAAAAAATTCTGAGATGTGTTCAAATTGCGCGGTGCAGAGACTTTGCTTCATCGGTAAATGTCGGTGTTTTTAATTTCCCTTACTTTTTAAAGTTTGTTTTCGGCATCATGCAGTGGCATCAAGAGGCAATTATTGTTCTCATTAAGCGTTTTTTTTAATTTTAATTAGCAAACGCAACATAGTCATCAGGCGCGCTTGGTTCGTGCCTAATTAGACTTCGAATTAAAGGCAAAAAATTAATGCAATGAATAAAAGTTACGCAGTCCTCATCCAGATGTGGCTCTGGTTCTGTATAGTTAATTCTACATTACATTTTGTTTACGCTGTCAACTGTTCTAGGTTTGTAGCTCATGATTATTTCGATTGGGAGTAAGAGTGCACATTGCACTTTCTTTGTGCCTCTGTTAAAGAAGGGCTGCAAATGTGCCTGATAAAATGGATTAACGAAAATTGTACTGTTTTATCCGCCAGAATGAGTTAAGTAAAGCGAGCGAAGCCATAGCACACGCGTCGTGATCTCAATATTGCAGCAGAATTTTCCATCATTCATTGCACTTGTTATAACTTAGAAAGCTCATTTTAGATGGGCTTCAAATGTTATTTTTTACAAGCTGCTCCGCTCTCAGTTAATTTTTATTGACGTTACTATATGTGTGACAATCCATTCTTGGATTCACCTACTATTTCAATTGACACCCGTTCAATACAATATCCTTCGCGAAAGATTTTTTACATGGACCTGGATTCAGTGAGCTTGACGGGCGTATCAATCAATACGTCCTATTAATCGCACAGCCTTGAGATTTTAATTTTCTCACGCCACTTGCACGGCCTCTTTTTCATTAGCTGCTGAGAAGCCAACAAGGGGCCTGCCTAGGGGTGAGTTCCGTGCCTGATCAGTGATTGGTGTGTCCGTTATCAATGTGACCTTGAAAAATTAATGTCTAGCATTAAAAGTCGTAGTATCTATCATTAGCTTTTTCCTCTTGAACTGTGAATTCTTTTTCGAAAATAGATGTATGTTGTCTTTCTGCTTTTGCAACTGAAGAAAGTTGCAAACTGTAGTTTACTTGTTTAGTTTACTTGGATAAATTCCCGCTGTTTCATCAAATGAAAAGGCAATAATTCCAAGTAGTCGACCATTCTATCCTTTTGCCTATCTAAAGCATTTATTATATGTCCTAATTTTCAGTACCTTAATACTGTTTCGGTAGTTTTACGCAAGTGTATAATGTTATGAAAATAGTTGACATCGTCTATCTATCAGGCATTTTTGTCAGTCTATTGTGTTGTACTTTGGTTCTTTTATGTCTCGCTCTCGCGAATTGACTTAGGCAATCTCAACAGGCAATGGAAAGATTGGCTTGGCTGTCGAGAAGAAATGCATTGCTTCGACTGTAAGATCCTGACGATAAGAATACTGAATAGATTGTATGGGTTCAGAATAAATGTGGATTGAGTCGATCTCATGGCTTTAGGGGGTGAAAGTATTGAGTTAATCTCTTGGAAGCTCAAGAATAGATCATCAAGGCCATCTGTTAACTCTAGTAGATGAGAGTATTTACGCGATCGCATGGGTCCACACCAGGCATCTGACGTTAAATTAACGTTTCAATAAAATTCACTAGTAATCATCGTGATTTCAGTGTCATTAGCCTGGAGTGTTTAGAAAAGAGTGTCGCGTTCATCTCATTTCCCCAGAAGAAATGCGTATATAAGAGAAGAAGAGAATATCGAGTCGATGTAATGATTCCGCAAATGGAGATTATTTAGTCGATCTCCTGATTCATGAAGATGAGTGTTGAGTTAATATCCTGATTCAAGATGAAGAGAGTATTGAATCGATCTTATTACCGCTATACAAGAACTATTGAGTTGATCTCCTAGGTCAGAGTTCGAGGACCCCCACGCGATCCGGTCTAAAACCGCGCCTGCTCGCCGAGAACGCGCCGTCAACCTTCGAGGTATATATGTATATTCTTCTCCATAATAAGGTCATTAACGGTAATGACTTATATTAAGATCGTTAAGGTGACATGGGTTATTAATATAATATATTTATTGGAAATTTGTTAAAAAATTGCTGGTCTGGAACGATTCAGGAACAATGGAACGGAACAAATATATTTTTTGTCCTGAGTTAAAGTTATATTTCACTTGTATCTTCCGTAGAAGGAGTACTGATTTTAATTTAAGGCTGCTTTGCGGGAAGTCTCAAATCGATCATGTTTAGAAACTCTGTAAAAATTTTTAGTTGATATCATTGCTTTAAATTTCTGCGGATTTAATTACGCATTTGAATGAATTTTAGATCTAATTAACACTGCTGGATTAGTATCGAAAAGTTTCTCATTTACATTTTAATTCTTTTTAAAGAAAAACAGACCCAATTCCTCTGTTGGGATAAAAAATTTCTGTAAGGCGTTTGTAAAACGAATTCATTTGACAGCCTCGATCATCTCTCATTGCTCATGTTTCATTCAATTAATTTTCTATTTGCATATGATAGATATAACAAAAGTCGACTCCATTATTCCTGATGAGAGATTGCGCTATATCCTATTACCGCAAGAAAGCATGTTTTTGCATTTTAAGATTTAATTGAAATAAAATAGAAATCTAAGTCAGTATTGCATTGGTTACTCTTGTTTGTCTTACATGAAGACCCCAATATTGTTTCGCGTTGTCATAACAACAAATTATTAGCTACGCCAAACTTTTCAAATCCTTTATCAACAAATTATTAGGTACGCCAAGCTAAATCTATGAATGAGGCTACGTTTACCTGTTGAAATTGCTAAATTATGTTGAAATCTGTTTATAAGATGACATTTCATGTACAATTGAAGTTTAACCATGAATGTGCTGCTTTAACCGTTCGTAAATTGTTCGAGTGTTCGAAAGCATAATCAATCAGCATAATATAAATAATATAATAATTATCTTCGTACTTAAAGCATTTGTTACTAACATCAGCTAAGCAACAAATCACTACAAATGGCGCGCAGTAATATGCACTAAAAAATGCTGCATTATTTTATATTGTAACATAATGCCAATACATTAGTTCCAAATTAAAGTTTCAATCGAGGTAAGGTAATATATACTTTAAAAATATGTAGTTTCTTCCGATGCTTATGACAAAAGTGATATCGCTTGTAAAATTTCCTAATGTGATTATTGAAATAAATAACGACTGAGATTATTTATTATTTTTGTCTCTTAGAAATCTATGACAACCCATGTTTGCAATGGGCAGTAATTTATCATATACATAGAAATTGATAAATTTAAATTTTTATTCCTAATAATTCACTTTTGAATAGGCAACCTGAATAGGATTTGGATTTCGTTTATAATACTTAACCTGTGTTTTCATCCCGAAATTTATATCCTGAAGCTGATTTGACTATTATTCAATAATACTCAAAGTTCCCTTATTATTTTTCTGTTACC